GGGGGGGGGAGGGGCAGGCGCATCAAGCCTATGTGGATGGTTGCGTACCATGGAGGGCGGGTGGGGTGTCGGGGGTGTTGGGGCAGTAAGCTTCCGTAGATGGGGGGGTAGGGGCACTAAGCTTATGTGGATAGTTGCGTACTATGGAGGGCGGGTCGCATTGTAGGGACAGCGGAAGGAACTACGGGGGAATGTGAACAACCACATGCGTGGACTGTTGATGCATTCTCTTGCATTCAGTGTGGGGTGGGGTGACACGAAGTGCAATGCATTGGATTTCCCTTGGAAAGAACACGGTCTCGATGCTTGGACGCAAGTCGAATGCAGTCGGTTGCGAAAGCAAGCGGCTTTTCTCAGTCTTGAGCCAAATGTATCAGTCATGTATGTACATAAAGTGTGAGACCATACAGAGGTTAGTTCGAGGAAAAAGGAAACACATGGGGTGCGGGGGGGGGGGCAGGGACATTTATGTGGATAGTTGCGTACCATGGAGGGCGGGTGGCACTGTTGAGGTAGGGCAGGGTAAAGAACTTAGGTGGCTGGTTGCGTTGGTTGCGTGGCCAGTTGTTGCATTCTGTTGCATTCAGGGCCATTCGATCAGTTTCTATTGTTTGAATGACGCACTGGAGAGAGATTCCGGTCCCGCAGTTTCCGAATGCTAGTGTCCGAATACAGCCGTCGAGTTTCCGAATACGAGTTTCCGAATACAACCGTCGAGTTTCCGAATCCAAGCGGTCAGTTTCCGAATTTAACCGTGGAGTTTCAGAATACGACCGTCTCAGTTTCCGAATACCCGTTTCCGAACACAAACGTGTAGTTTCCGAATACTAGTTTCCAAATACAACCGTGCAGTTTCCGAATACCACCCTTCCAGTTTCCGAATACAACATAATACAGCCGCTTCAGTTTCCGAAGGCCAGTTTCCGAATACAACCGCGCAGTTTCCGAATCTCAGTTTCCGAATACAACTGTTCCAGTTTCCGAATGATTACAACCGCCGAGTTTCCGAATACAACCGTGGAGTTTCCGAGTACAACCGCCGAGTTTCCGAATACGACCGTCCAGTTTCCGAATACAACCGTGACCAGCCTCTTGCCAGTCATGCTGGTGCTGTTGCGTGCTCAAATGTCGTCTTAATTTGGAAGGACTTCGCTGGGCCTAAGCCCCTTCAGGTTTGCTTCAAATGTTTGATTTGCAACGCAGCCTTGAAATCTTACCGTTTACATATCACCCTGCGCGCGACCCTCAGTCCAACTTTCAGACTTGCTGAGGCACTCGTATTCCCATGATTCGTTTGTTTTTCTTAGGACTATTCATGCGACGCCTCTGAACGTGCAACAGCGGTTTATGTCAACACATTGAGGAAAGACAAAAACTTCTGATCCGGTTCTACCCAGCAGCGCCCTCCAACCAGGAAGTGTATGGGAGCAAACCGTTTCGCTTCAATAACTACTGCAAGTATTGAAGCATGCAACACCATATATGAAGGAGGGGACACTCACTAAACCTGCACATTTACTTGCCCAAAATTCAAGGATCTTTGATCAGCAGGGAATCTTGACAAATCACTCAATAATATATGCTTGTCATGTATGTAAGACTACCTATCGATGTGAGCCGGCCAAAGGCTCGGGTCTCAACTTGTACAAAAGAGTAGCTCAGCCAAGGGCACGCAAGCATTCATCTAAGGAGGCTTCGTTTGAACAGACGCACCTCTCAGCCCGTTGTGGTCCTTCATGGAAAAACATGTAGAGTTCAAGTTTGTTGGATCATAAATGAGTTTCTTCAATGTCCGCAAAATCAAGGGCAGATGCAGCTTTCTTGTGCCAGGTTCCAGCTGATTTGTCGAACTTTAACGAAAATCCAGCCTGGCCAGTGGTGCTTGATGACTTTGTCGAGTGCTCCAATGGAGGGCCAACAGGAATTGTTCAGAGCGCAGATGGTTTCCGAGTCTTCAGGCATGTTCACAATGTTTTGCGGTTTACCCGCAGGGTGCCTGGGGAGAGCGATGCACCCAATATTTGATGGTATAGGGTTTGCGTTCTTGCGAGATGAGTAAGCAGCACCAAGGGGGGGGCGAAAAAGCTTGTTGCGTTTCATGTTTCTGTGTCGCGCAGGCTTTGGCTTAATGGATTCGGAAGCACTTTTAGGTCTGTGTAGTGTGGTGTTGCTGTGGTTGGCGTTCAAATGTGATCGAAGTTTAGCTCGTTTTGACTTTCCAACTCCTTTACAGCCGTTCCTTTAAGTGGATCCGTTTGCGTTAGATTCTTTGATCGAATTGGCAACCCGGGAATTGGACGATGTGGAAATGTTCTTAGTTCTTTAGATGAAGATCAGTGTGTGAAACCAAGCCAGTTCTTGAAACGGATCGCTCAACTCACAAAGTAAAAACGGTGCGAATGGAGCAAGCGCTGGGTGAGAGTGACCAAGCGGTTTGCCAGGTTCCTTGTTTACACCAGGCGACCTGGGGAACCGCAACCTAGTTTCCAGCTAAACACAATAGTGGTCTTCGCCATTCCACTACAAACGGCTAGTGGCTAATAGTGGCTACCCTTGCTCTCAATGACCATTCTAGACAAGTGAATATATTTTTTACAGGCAGAAACCAATTCGTTCTTGAGCTCAAGTTGTTTAGCACGTACACCCGTGAAGTTGAGGATGGGCTATGCATGTTTGGAACCGGGGCATCATCGGGGCATGTTGCAATCTGTTTGTTTGCGAGCGCGTGTGATTTGGATTCGCAGGAATCGATCGGGTTGTTTGCCTGGTCCTATGGGATTGCGTGAAGAACGTTTTTATAACCTTTGTGCTTTGCTTGAGTTTGTCACTACTGCAAAAAGTATTATGATGATTTCTGAGGTGATGGCTACCCCCTGTGTTTTCTCGGCGATGTCTCCAACTTTTGATCACCTGTCCCATGGGTCAGTTGTTTCGAACCATCGTGCCTTTCACTTTGGAGGAACGGAGGAACCCGAACAATCCTTGTCCTTTTTCGCAGTGTTCCAAGGTACTACAGAGCTCAGAAGGGGCTGTGAGCTATGACGACACGACCTAGCCTTGCGTCCTACACGTTAACGAAACAGCTGTTTTGCTTTGTGTTGCTTTGCCAGGCCAAGTCGTTGTGTAAGGAAATACAGATGTATACGTGTTTGTGCTGTGGGTTGAACAGATAACAAAAGGATGTGAAGAGAAGAGAAGAGAGTTTCACTCTTGGACGCCATGTGTCACAGCGTCAAAAAAGACGCGAGTTGCAGGAAACATGTTTCGACTAGTCTAGCAAGAGCAAACCGTAAATCTTTGTGCTTAATGATTGTCGGCCAGCCAGAACAGGTCGCTTTTGAGGTGGCAACTTTCATGGTACTGGTACATCAGTATCTACTCAGTTTCACTGTTTTCTCGTGATGCATGTTTGTCATGGTTGCTGGCTGGACGTGTACCTTTTGGTATTACTTGTGCCTTAGTTTGCCCAAATGTTTACATTAGATGGATACAATGAGTGTATACAATAAATGTATACAATAAATGAATATATACAAGCTTGTTTCCAAGAGTAAGATCCGTAGCAGCAACAGCTTGGTCATACGCGGAGATTCTTTGCACTTTTCAGTGAATATGGTGTCATGGGATAAACGTGTCACTGCGCTGGTACAGTAGAGCATTTTCCTCCACGGTTCTGTCGCAATGCCATGGCTTCTTTCGGGAAGCGATCCCAAGAGCGAGGCTCGTTTGGGATGGGTGCTGAACCTGCGGATCGTGATGTTGAAGACATCAACAACCTAAGTTGATCCTTGCCTTCGTTGATGACAAACAAACAAACGCATTTCTTGCTCGACTATATATTTGTGCAGCAAGCAAGAGCTGTTGGAAAATTTTCATCTGATGGGATGTTGCCCGGCAGAGGGTCTGATTGGGAATGAAGACTTTGGCCGTGGAATTGGGCAACATCTGAGCAGAGCCACTTGGTTTAAGCGTGTTTAAGCTCTTTCAGATTGCCAAAAGTGTTGCTTCGGATTCTTCCAATTGCCAAGGTTTGCCCTGGATCTTCGGAAGCTTCGGAAGTGCCAAGACATTAGTCATTAGACAACGCCAGACACAGTTCAAGTCTAACTCGTCCACATGTTCCGAGCACGTGATATAGTCCAGTGTCCTATTATAGAAGAAATCAAATAATTTGTTCAGATAGAAGATCTTTTTAAAATTGAAGAAATGCACAAGGAATCATTTTATAATGGCTTGTTCAGGTAGTACAAGCAAGATGTGCCGAAGAGCCTGAGCCCACCTCCTCTCCGATTCGGGTGGACACTGTCGCATCAGAGACGACTCGCAGTTCTGAAGCCGGTGACGATTTTGCAGGGTTGCTTGCTCACTATGCCAACAGCACCTAGGCTTCTAGATTGGCAAAGCTACTGAGCAGTACCATAGGATTCTGCCCGTCCAATTATTTCTTTGGGGTTGACTTGCTTCTCGCAGCTCTAGGATATTCAATGTTTTAGGTCTACTCTGTGAAAGATCGACGGGCGCCAGTTCTTATCAACCCAACCTCTATTCACAAGCCTCAGCCAGAGCTGTTTCAAAAAGCCTAGTAGTTTTGCTGCCGAGCTGTTCGCCGGCTTTGGATTCTAGATCTACAATTATTTTTACAGTATGTTGATGCCATCTTCCATCATGCTAGGGTTCCTCCTCAGCACTCCTAGTAGTTGACAATACGTCAATCTGTGTCCATTTTTGCAGCCTTGGTCAGCAATATGTGCTTTAGCGTGTTGTTTCGCACGCGGAGCGCCAAAAACTTAGACATTAGTTGCGCTGGATACCGGTTAAACACCTGAAGGACCTCTGGCTAATTCATCCTGAGCCAATATCACTTGCCCAGTGCTTTCAATTTGACCCACAGGTTTGACTTCTCAATCTCAGACTCGGTGTATGTTCCGAGATGACTTGCCTCGGAGGAATTTCACTTTGTAAGAACAGGTCAAGTAGCACAAAAGCATGCCATGAGACACGGTCAACATATAATTTGTGATGAGGCGCGCCATGGCAAAAAGACTTGTCCACCTCTTCTCGTCCATAGTTGACTTCGCACTCCCTGCACAGGCATGCTAACCTATCCATGCAAGGCGGTGTTCCACCACTCCCACTTTGTTGGCTATGACGAACTCTTGACTTGCATCCATATTGTCAGCTCCCGGTCTGTGTTTGCTGCCTTTCAATTCATGGCCTCTCTAAACTTTGACTTGGCGTTCTGATAGGTCACGCAGAACGACTCAGGATGACCATTGTCTTGGCAGCATCAACCACATTCTCGGTCAAGTGGACGGAGTGCTTCTTCTTCCAGCCTAGTGTCCCTCCGCCACTGGCGAAGGGCCCGATCCTGTATCAACATTTGACTGGCTCTGGGGTGACGACGACGAAACTGTCAACTCATCAGGCAATCAAGGTAGTTTTTGTTTCTATGAACTATAGACTATGTAGTGCGGGGGGGTCTTGCTTTTTGACGTGTTTACTCCGCGTCACTGTCGCCCACGTACTAGAGAGTTGAGTACGTACGCTTCGAATGCTGCCACCCCGTGCGACAAAGATGCCCAAGCGAAACTAGATGAAACTAGTATATTATATACATATGCATGTGCAATCATATGTACTGTATATTCGTCCATTCAAGGTAGGCAGGGTCGGTGATGAAGAATTATTTGATGTGAGTCATTTCAGGAGGAGCCCGCCATGATCATACAACTTTTGGGCGTCCTGGAACTCGCTGCGGCACACCCACATTGGCCCATGGTATGTTCTGCCTTTGCCATGGTTTTTGGAGTGGTGAGGCTCTGTCAACAGGCAGTAGAGATGGCTTTCAGTGGTCAGCGGTCATTGCCTCGAGTCATTGGGAGCAGCGGCTGGCCCGCAGGTCTTTTCGGGACTGGTCACGAGGCACTGGGCTACGATCGCCAGATTTGCCAAGTCAGGCTGTGCTTCCCGGCAATGACCGACGCGCGCCAATGAGCTGTACGTTTGAGTTCCGACACTGGTTCAGAAATGTGCTTGCTGCTTCACTCATGAGCATGACACGCGCCGGTGTGATTGATCAGGGCCAGGGCAGATCATGCTTGGCTCGCGGTGTCCCTCCAGATTTCTTTACTCAGGTTCGACGTTACAATGGGCCGCCCCCAGGCTATCCAGTTGGCGGGTGCTGCCATGGCGCCCTTGGCTGGGGAGGGGAAAGGCAGTCGAGTTGAGAGAGTTGGGAACGCGGGGCTGTCGGGCCTTTGTCCACCCTGGTCCAAATCCACGCCGTGCCTGGTCTCTGCGCCAGTTGGATTGATTGGTGGGATCAAGTTCAAGACATCCAGAGCGCCCAGCCTGACCTGGTAACCCCACTCACTACAGCGGGCGCCACCTCCCCGTGTGTGGGTTCGGTGCCCTCCTACGTGGCTATCGTACGCACCACTCAAACAGAGTTACTGTAATAGTTAATAAGGACTCCTAGGACTTTTTGAGCACTACCCTCACTGATGATGAGCGCCACCAGAGGCGATGCCGCTGTGTGATGCCCTCAAACGGCCAGCGCTGACGCGTCTCTGCTTGGAGCTTATAATGAGTTAGCTCCTCAGTTGGCCTGATGTTTCCGCTCTCGTCAAAAAGAGGCAATGTTTCTCGTGGCCTCCGAGGTTCAGTGCAAGTTTCACTTTTGTTCAAGCTTTCAATTCGCAATTGTCCGACCTCTTGTTGTCATGCCGGCGGCTCCTCCTAAGCAGCTGGCCGCTCTGGAGGATACCTTCGCCGCCTAGTCCCATAAGTTTAGTTTTCAGCACTTCATGGATGAGCTAGCTCAAGTTGAGCCCCTTGCTGACGCGCAACGCAAACCAGTCTTTCTAGACGCGTTCCGTTGGCTAAGGCCTTCCCTTGGTGCCAGTCTCACTCAGTGGGAAGTTGTCACTCCCATCGGACGTGTCTCGGCCCGCAGTTGGTCGTGCCATCCACGCCGTACTCTTCACATGGGTTGTGATCTCTGGGGCTATGAATTGCACCGCAAAATCGCGGGCTTCAAAGAAACAGCCAGTACCACCACCCTTCGAAGTGATGAATTTAACCAGGACCCCTCCAGACTCCCTGAACGTAGCCGTGACGTTAGGGAGTCCGGCCGCGAGGCTGCCGAGGCGTTTCCGTCACAGCAGGTGCTGGTGTTTGGGTCTGGCGAGACCAAAAAGGGTTGATGTTGACAACTACTCCAGCGATTATAGTTACTAGCTCTTCGCGCGTGGGCCCAATCAAACTCTGTCCTTGTGAGAACCCTTTGCGGTCGGACCCCATTGAACTGCGCATTACAGACTTTGACGCACGTGTGTTCGGCAGCGCCCGGAAGAAATCTCAACGATTTCGGCGCAACATTCCAGCTCCGATGCGGACACCTCCATGACCCACACCAGTGCTACCCCAGCCCGGGGCAAGTTTCCAACGTCGCAGAAGCCAAGTTTTAGTTAGGTCTTCACATATAAGCCATCGCTTGTACCGCGTGGGCGGTCTCGGGGAAATGCAGTGGTCGCCATTCCACGCCTCCCATCTCGTTGGCAAGTGACCGTCGGCCGCATCTTCACTTCGAGCCCTCTGAAATACGACCAGACTTGATGGACGTCATGCCTCCCCCACGCGTCGACTCCTCCTTCGTTCCTGCCCAGCTTGTCGCCAGTGAGGTCTTCGCTGACCGGAAGCAGTTGACTGACACCTTTACATTGGCGCAGGCCATGTTTCTCATCGCTGGGCGTTGCCCCAATCATTCCGGGCAGGGGAGGCTCGCGCGGCTTCAGAAGGTGTGTTGCAGCATGCACGGTGGATCCATGATCAGGATCACCTGATTTCGGCACGGGCTTAGCCTTAGCTTGCGACTGCCCTGACAATGCGCTTTGTCGTTCTGATATTTTGCGAGCGTTGATCTGGACTACGAACTCTCATAGACACCATCAGGCCCGGCAACGGGTCACGTTGTTGGCGGCGGGATTGCGGCGTGCCAGGTTTAGTCGGGAAACCTTTGTCGCGGGCTTGATGGGGCAAGCTATTTGTGGTCTCCCTTCTGCAGCTACACTCTTGGCGGAAGGCACCCATTGCCTATCAACATGCGCCCATGATCCCTGACCAGTTGGCTTGCGGTAGAGGCCTACTACGATCACATTGCTGCGGAACCTCGCTTTCATCCTTACTACAGTTCTCTTTTTGGTCTACCCAACGCTGTCTGCTCATTCAATCAGTTCCCGCGATTCTTTAAGGCTGCACGTCGTCGCCTGGGCTTTTCCTTTGCCAGCATGTACTTTGACGCGCCTTTGTTGTATGAAAGGCTCAGCTCAACACTTCATTATCAGTC